CGTTCGCCTTGCGTATCCTGATACGCCCGAGAATGTTATGGAGCGGTTGGCAGTACAGGCATTCTCCGACGGCTTACGTGACAACGATACAAGACAAGCGCTTCTCCTAGCCCACCCAACGCACTTGGTGGATGCTTTAGCACGTGCCCTAGAATTCGAGGCTGCGAAACAAAGTTCTCGGTCTTTAGGAAGAGTACGGGCCATCGACGAATGTTCCGACGAATCCGTGGAAGGGATTGTTCCGAAAGTAATGGACCAGTACATGGGCAAGAAGGGACCGATTCGTTGCTGGAACTGCGGACAGGTAGGACACGTGCGAAGCCGTTGTAAGGAGAAGAACGAAGAACCGGCTTCGTCGAGGTCGGAAAACTACTAAGGGTCGAAATGAAGGGGCACACGTCGACCTGTACCCAACATGCCCCAACGAAAACTGCTCAAGTCGCCTCGCTACAACACAAATTCAACAGCATTTTTGTGGATGGTTTTGTTGATGGAGAGTTCCGGACCATGCTGTTGGATACAGGTGCGACGAAAACTATCATCAGACCGGACATTCTTAAAATATCGAAGAAGGTTAAAACAACACAATCGCGACTACGTACTGCTACAGGGGGCTCCGCTGCTGTCCATGGAGGAGTAAGCCTTAATTTTGTTATTGGGAGCACCAGTTTTGAACATCCAGTATTAGTAGCAGATATCGAAGATGAACTTATTCTCGGAATGGACATTATGACCACTAGAGGTTTTGAACTAAACTTCAAACAGGGAATTTTGAAAATAAATGAAAAAGAAGTGGTTCTACATCGAAAATGTGAGGAGACGCTTCGCGTGGGGGTAGCAGAAGATGTTTCGATCCCTGAGCGCTGTGAGATATTTTTGGATGGTTGCCTGGAAGATAAAATGAATAATGGGAGTATTATTCTGTTGGAGCCAAGGAACCATGACAGCGAAATAGGACGAGGGATCGCTGTTGGAAAAGCCCTGCTGCGAGCGAAGAAAACTGTACCGGTGAGAGTAACGAACACGAATTATTATTCTGTATCCTTGAAGAAGGGAACCCTTTTAGGGTACTGTTATTCGGTCTCCTCAGTCATTCGAAGCGTGGAAGCCTCCAAAGTTTCGACTTCAAAAATTCCGGACAAAATGGTGAAGGAGTTAGTTAGGGATTATCTCCCGAAAATAGTAGAAAATTGAGAAACCTGATAATCAAGTATCAAGATGTGTTTGATAAAGGAGAAGCAGGACAGAGAAGTCGTACCAATTTAGTACAACATGAAATTGATACCGGAGATGCACGACCAATCAAACAAAATCCGAGAAGACTTCCGCTCGCCAAACGTGAAGAAGCTGATAAAATCCGTCGAGAAATGAAAGAAGAGGGTGTCATCGAACCATCTAACAGCCCGTGGACATCGCCGGTAGTACTAGTAAAGAAGAAAGACGGTACCACCAGGTTCTGTGTTGATTATCGGCAGCTCAATAATGTTACCAAGAAGGATAGTTATCCCCTGCCGAGGATAGACGATCTCAATCAATAATATACCTATATTTCCTTCGGCCACACACCCGTTTTACCCGACCCCTGATAGCGAAAGTACAGCGTAATAGACTTTTAAGTAAAATTAATATTACAAATGCGAAATATTACGGGTGCGTCTCAAAAGTGGCTTACCACTATATCTATTATTTTTTAGATGAAAAAACAAGATTTGGTATGTTAGAATATGACATAAATTAACTTTTTGGTAACTTCCTGTTTCGTCGGAAATTACTACAACTTTTTATTTTTAAATAGCACCCTTGGTATTTTTCCACTTTATTCGACATTCTACTCAGAGTGTCATTTTCTATAGAATAAAGTAGAAAAATACCGAGGGTTCCATTTAAAAATTAAAAGTTGTAGTCATTTCCTGTGAAACAAGAAGTGATCGAAAACTATTGAGTACGTCAATCAATCCTAATTCATGTCATATACTAACATACCAAATCTCGTTTTTTTAACTGAAAAAAAATAAGTTATAGGGGTGAGCCACTTTTGAGACGCACCCGGTATATATACACGTACATGTACAACATGTCGACTTCTGTATTGTGTGCAATTACTCGTCTATCTATATTTGGTTCTTGCTTTATGGTCCGCTGAATTCATAGATTTGCTATTTTCTGGAATATATACCAAGAGGGTGAAACATTTAAAATTTTCAATTTTAGGAGATCTTTGCATGTCGAATGTTGTTTTCAGAGATTTGATTGTTTTATAGGAATAATACTGATACTTTATCGCAAATTTTATTGTGTCATCGTGTAAAACTTTATTTAAAATTAAAGACCATGTTAATCCAAGAGAATAATTTTATATTTTATTTCAACATTAATTGAATCAAATTTTATTATTTTTTACTAGGGATAACCCTCCTATAATTGTGAGCAATAATATAATTGTTGCAATAATATAATGCATATTATATAAATAGGAAAATGTAAAAATTCAAAATAAAATTATCAAATAATATTTTTAAAGCGCCTGCCCTATCCTCAAATTGCTGTAAGTATCAAAGTCACGGTCAATTTTCATTCTCGGCATGTGCCAGTCTACTACAATCTGCAGAATGTTGTTTTCCATATACCATACGATTCAAAAAAAAAAGGGCGTCAAAGACAGCTACGGAATGATAATAGGCTGATAATCGGTGATAATTTTGGCGAGATCATGCCCTACAGCTTAAAAGAAAAGCACCCAGAAGCATAATTGGGCATTTCGAAGACCTCAAATAAAAAAAATACATGAAGAATCATCTGTAAAAAAAGTTGTTTCTCGTTGGATACCGCATCTGTTGGCGGGAGAATAGAAAGAGTCAATCGGTGTCAAAGGCTGGCGATGACCGCCTCATACTCTTTCAGATATTTAGCAATAAAATAAAGAAACCTGTTATTTTTAAGCTGTTATTTTAAGCTATAACAGTTTTGCCCATCACTAGTGTCAAAGAACTCTAAACCTAACGCTGGGAACTCATAAACCATGCATATACAGTATTGTCAGTGGTGATGAATCCTGGATTTATTCTTATGAACCCGAAAATAAACGTTAATCGGCTGTTTGGGTGCTCCGAAATGAACAAAAACCGACGAAAGATGGTTACAAAAAGATGGTGGCGACATTTATCTCAAAAGCGGGTCATGTATGTAGCAACAATTCTTCTGCGAGATCAAAAACTGTTACTGCTGATGGCATATATCTATTTGTATTTGTATGCCGGAAGTAATTGCCGAGTTTCGAAAAATGACATTAGGCCTCGACGACGAATGATCCTCCACCAATACAATGCAAGATTCCACACAGCTCGAAAAACAATTGAGTTTTTAAAGCAAGAAAACATCGATGGGTAGGCCATCCTCCATACAGTCCTAACGACTTTTTTACTTTTTCAAAAATTGAAAATGCAAAAACGCAAATATGAAGATACCAACAAGCAATAAGTGGAATAACTGCTTTCAGAATAGGTTTGGTTTGGTTAGGAGTTCTCCACGAAGAATATCCTAACGAAAATAATAGTATTTAAAAGTTATGTACTGTTTTTTCTACCTCTATAATAAGCAAAATCTAAAAAGCAACCCTTTTAGGTACATAGCATTTTTATTGTCTTATAATTGTCTTAGTTATGCTATGCTGCTATGGACCTATTTAGGGACCATGCACTCTTATATCGTGAGCGTACAGCGAAAATCCACTAAGTCACATTTTTGGTTGAATTGGATTAAACACCACTATGTCCAGTTTTTCACGGTCTTTAACATGAAAAACCCATTAAGTCCAATTTCGGCATCCTTATAATAAAATATATCATCCTTATAATATAATACACCACTATGTCCTTTCACGGTCTTTAGCATGAAAAACCCATTAAGTCCAATTTCGGCATCCTTATAATATAATATATCATCCTTATAATATAATATAAGGATGCCGAAATTGGACTTAATGGGTTTTTCATGTTAAAGACCGTGAAAAACTGGACCATAGTGGTGTGTTTAATCCAATTCAACCAAAAATGTGACTTAGTGGATTTTCGCTGTACGCCCACGATATATTAATTTTGGTACAATTACAAATTAAACACCTATATTTTTTCGACTACCATTGTCAATAGGATTATAAAAATAATTTAGCTAAAATAGATACTAAATTAATTATTAAATAACACTATTTAATAGATGTTTAATCAAAAATATAATAATAACCTACTTACCGAATAAACATGTTCATTTCATGTTACTGTCTGACCTTCAAAAATCCAGGTGTTTTCTACCTAATCAATAATTTTCTGTACCTATTATTCCAAAGAATTGTTTGGTCAACGATTTTAGAATTGTATGTGAATATGATGTGATACTCATATTTAATCTACTAATAAGAAAGTAAAAATCGTGATAAATTTAGAAAATTAGGGACAAGGGACAATTGTGAATAGAAAAAAAATGAATTATTTGGATGTTTTGATCCACTACCTTCAGACTACCTACCTTGAAGTTAGGTGAAGAACGCAGAATTGCTGACATTTGTGTGCTTTATTTATGAAACAATCCGTTTATACACTAAGTTTATTAGAATTGTCGTTAGTTTTTTAATTAGACTAGACCTACAGACATTTTATAAATTCTTATTTTACTGTTTAAATTAATTTCTATTATTATTAAATGAATAGTTCGTAATATACAAGTTATCGTCTTATTTTTCTATTCGCCGAAATAGCTCAGTTGGGAGAGCGTTAGACTGAAGATCTAAAGGTCCCTGGTTCGATCCCGGGTTTCGGCAAAACTTTTTCTTTTTTTTTAATTGTAAAAATATTTAATTGTAAAAATATATTTTTAATAATTTATTTCCAGTAATAGGTATCTTATCCAATTTTTGGACCAAAGTACGACAGACTGTTTGATAAATTTTAAAATGCTACAGATAACAGAGATAATTTAAAAGGACCTTTTTATTACCTTCTAGCTGCATTAAACATAATGTTGTCATGCGTAAGTGTTTGTGTTTTCGTGATTACATCGTTGATTTTGGCGGTTGTTAAACTAATTGATAAGAAACCTGGTCCTATTTTTGGTGTTTATCAGAGGGCAAATGGATTTTATTGGTTTAAAGTTTTTTTAATGTTTATGTGTTTGTGTTTGAGAAAGGTAAATATGTATAAGTTGCCCTAAGTACAGGGTGGGCCAAATTGGACACTTTTAAAGAGAATCATCCTTTTCTATAGAAGATAGACGAGAACTGATATCGGTGTCTGGAGCTCAATTTTCATCAAAAACATGATGGTAAAAACCGCACATTGATATCTGTTACCGTTTTGGAGTTATAGGGTGTTTTTCAAAAATGTGCATTTTTAACATATACATTGCTGTAACTTTTTTGCTATAGAAAATATTGTATTTTTATGAAAAGTACCTTTTTACGTGTAGAATTTAATGGTTTAAGTATATATTTTTAAAATTAATAATGTAGGAGTTATCAACAGAAAAATTGATTTTTTATATGGGACACCCTGTATATTTTTAATTCGCTCAAAATAACTTCAAAATACCTTTTTTAAAATATAGCATACTTGACTCTTTGAGATACACAGTTTTTAAAAATTCGCCTATGAATAACTATATATAGGCTTTGAACGGCGCCGGCCGTAATGCAGAAAACAAATAATAATGCTTACCGGAAGCTGTCAGCAGCAATTAAAACGAAAAGAATATTTACAATGGAAGATGCAGAATTTTATAACAATTTAGATTAGATTATACATATATTTGAATGAGCTCAACATAAGCACCCGACTGTCGGTTATCTGTCTGAAAAGTGAAAAGTATCCCCCAGTACTTTGGACATGTCGCAGCCACTTAGTGTAATTGTCCGTTTCATGAAATGGATATCCACTTCGCGAACTGAAACCTAACCTAACCTAACCAGTTCGCGAAGTGGATATCCATTTCATGAAACGGACAATTACACTAAGTGGGTGCGACAGACACATTGCTCGAAGACCTACGGACAACATGGAAAACATTATTATAACTGGTGATGTCCAAGAAAAAAGATGTAGAGGTCGGTCCCCAACAAGATGGAAACCAACCCGACACTCAGCTATCCATCGAGCACAAACCGTTAAATTCTACGTAAAAATATGCTTTAGAAATGTTTCCATTAAAACATAATATTTTCCATAACAAAAGTTACAGCGATATGTTAAAAATGTACATTTTTGACAAACACTCCATAAGTCAAGAACGGTAACAGATATCGATGTGCGGTTTTTACCATCATGTTTTTGATAAAAATTGAGTTCAAGACACCGAAGTAATAGAAAAGGAAAAGTTTCCCTTTTTGAAAGCTTGAAAGATTTAGTTTTCGTTTGATTACAGAATTTGATATTTCAAAATTAATGTTTACACGTATAATTAATTTTCAGATAAAATATAAAATATTTCCACTCAGTCAGGAATACTTGAATAATTTGGACAGACCTCAGAAACTTGCACCCACTTCGAAAGTATGAATACCAACCAACTTTTAGTCTTTTTGTTGTATAATAAGAATCTTTCAGGCAGTGGATGCTGTATTTTTCTGCAATGCTAACAAGGATGGGGACTATTTTATTGTGGGAATAGCCAGACGTAGCAATAGACTCGTAGATGGATTCATTTTATTAAAACTTAATTCATTAGATTTAGGTGTTCTAGAATCACCAAAGATTCCAGATACAGCTCTGTTTAATACTGGTGAAGAAGAGAGTTATGAAGCTGAAGGTGGGTATTAATATTTTAAATGAAAGAATAAAAAGTTTAGTTTGTTCCATGTGGTCGTGATGTGTTAAAAACACTGGGGTAAATAGAAACACATTAAAACAACCCTTATCTCTACTTCAACAAAAATTGTCATATTTTTTTATGTATATTTTCACATACCAAAGTGAGAAAGAACCACCATTCATAGGAAAACTTAAAATTATTTTCTTTATACCTTATCTTCTTCTTATAGTACCATCTTCTAATGAAGGTTGGCAACAATCACTGCTAAACACTGTCTAGCCTGTGCAGCTCGAAATAGTTCGTGTGGGTTCAGTCCAGTCCAATCTCGTAAGTTTTTCAACCAAGAGTGAACTTCCTGCCTTCTACCTTTCCTTCGATAATTAACTTCAGAAGCTTTGCCCTGGCTTTGCCTGCTTATCGCGCATGGCATGGCCCAGGTCTTTCGATTTTTTATATTTGTCAGTATTTCCCTGTCCTTGTTAAGCCTTCCAAGAACCCCTTTATTGCGTACATGATCTGCCCAGGGTATTTTCAAGGGTCTTCTGTAGATTCACATTTCAAAAGCTTCCAACCGTCTCATGGTGTTCACTTTAAGCGTCCATGTCTCACAGCCGTATAAGAGTAATGAGTATACATAATACATAACAATGAACAAAACGCAGACGTAAGTTGATGTTGAGTGATCGGTTACATAATAGGCTGCTCATTTTGTTAAACATTGATCTAGCCTGTTCCATACGCGATGTAAATTCGGGGTTAAGGTCCTATGTTAGCTAGGATTTGAACTTATTTACCGTGTCTCCGCATTGTCCGTATAGGAATACTTGTATGTTGGATGATGGAATATTTCTACTACTAACGACCATTATCTTGGTTTTTGCCATGTTTATTTTAAGGCCCAATGGATCTCATTCCCGAACTAGGTCGTCTAGAAGTTCTTGAGGAACCCCAGGGTTGTCAGCGATAATCGCAGTGTCGTCTGCATAAGGTTGTTAATTGGGACGCCATTTATTTTTTGTCAATGCCTTTATCTTGTAGGGCCTAATCGAATATATATCTCGAGTATATTTTAAGCAATAAGGGAGACAGCACACATCCTTGACGAACTCCACGTCGTACTGGTATTTCGTCTGTTTTGTCTTGCCCTAACCTTATGTATATGCTGTCTGATTCTGATATAGTTTTTTTAAGATTTGGATATCGGTTTTGTCTAGATCTTTTTCTTGCTTGTTGGTCTCTACATTTCTGTAAGAGAACAGACAGGCCAAACATTGCTTCCCTGGACTCCATTCCTTCTCGAAAGCTAAATTGGCCATCATCTAAATCAATTTCACATTTTTTGAATATTCTGTGTTGAATTATTTTAAGTAGTATTTTTAAAACATGGCTCATTAGGCTTATTAACCTGAAGTGTTCGCATTTTTTGCGGCGTTATTTTCTGGAATAGGAACAAAAATTGACTTTAGCCAATCTTGTGGGATCTCAATGCTTTTATAGATTTGGGTTAACGTAAAAGTTATATAGTCAAAGAGATTATCAGTCTAGTTAACACAGGGATGTTTTCTTGATTTATCAATTTGAGCATCTCAACACGTAGTTCATCCGGACCGCAGGTTTTTCCTATACCTTATCTAGATAATTTTAAAATAAAGTTTGCAAAAATCGTTTTCATTTACCCCGATTGATCCTAATCTTTGTCTGACATTTTACATAATTATAAAACAAAATATAATATACATAATATAAAAATACTGCAAGAAACGCATTAAATACAAAATATGCTGAATCTAATTATCTACAAAAAATGGGAGATGCAGCTTAAAAAAGCTTAAAACTTTATCACCAACTTTTTTGTGAGACGCTGTATACAACGAAATATTTGTACAATATCTGTATAAAACTTTTTTTACAATAACGACGACGATATTACGATATTGGACTTCCTGGCACTAATGGGCCATCCTGTATATCCAATCTACATCTTGAAATGTATTTTAGGCATCAAAATAACGCCCCGTATACCGATGAAAGAATGGACTATAGAATATAATGGCCAATTGAAGGAATTTAATGACATTACCAAATTGCATAATGTAAAGATTACTGCCCAATTTACTTCAAACAAACCTATTTACAATATGGATAGGGATTTAGATCCTTGGGAGATGGCAAGATCCTTAGCCTATGAAAAGTGGTCAAGAGGGTATTTCGATAATGCTAAAGAGTGAGCACCGAAAAAAAATAATTTTATTTTGAATATAGTGATATTATTTCAGGCATCATCAGACTCATTATGAACAGTACGGCATAGTAAAGGCTAAAATATCAATTGATGGTAAGGTACATGAAACAGTGTTTGATAGTCTGAGAGATCACAGCATTGCAAAAAATAGGGACTGGGGACACTTTAAAAGATATGGTATACACTTTCTTTCAACTGAAAATGGTGACCACTTGACCATTGGAACTTTATGCATGCCTTCATATCTTTCAAGGTAAAATAGAGTTGAAGGTCGATATATAAATATTTACTCTAATATTTTAAGAATAAAAATAGGATACATGTACAACGCAGTGGACAAAAAAATATACAATATAAGGAGTAGTAATTTGGAATTATATCAGTTTGGTGAACTAGGTACTCCTCCAAAAGATTATGCCTTTACTTTTAAAGCGGGTAAGTAGTGGAGTAGCCAAAGTGAGAAGCTACCAATATATCATCGTATATTCACGTCATTTCTTAACTTTGGTATATTCATGTTAAATTTCCTAGTTCCTTTCCTAATAATATTTGCTATGAAGCTATAAAATATTTTAATAATTTCAATCCTTGAAATATTAATTATTGACAACAGAGCTGCAACAAGTCAGTTTCAAACAGACTTAAATCTTATAGTCTAAGAGCTGGCTACATAAAAAACCTTATCATCGTTACATGGCTAATTTTTTGTGTGAAGTATCCTTTTGTGTAGCTATTATGAAATAGTCATGTCTGCCAGCGCGATCCCGGGGCTTAAAGCGGGGGCGGAAAATCGAAAGGGTGAAATTTTGACACTAAAAATATTATAAGGTACTATTCGACCACATATTTATCACAATAGAGCAATTATAAGGTACACGAGTTATAATTGCGAAAATAGCTTTTATTTATTTTTAAGAAACGTGGAAAATTGTTGGCAGGCATTTTTCTGGTCGCTAAAATGCCGACAGACAACGCGAAAGAGGCATGAAATTTTAAATCCCAAAAATTATTAAAAAATGTAATTTGAAAAATAAAAAATAAATATGGCATACATGCATGCCGATTGGTGGAATGTCATATTTATTAATTTTAAAAGCCGTATGCAAAAGGGCAGACAAAAATATCGTGGCTAAATCAGTTGCAGACAGTTATCACAAAAGCGCGATATTACTCTAGCCCTTTCAGAACGCTCGGCGCTTCATCCAATTAAGTATAGATAAATCATGTATACGATTATATTATAAATATATAGAAAAAGAAAATATGTTTGTTTTATCGAGATCTCCAAGCTATGAAAATATTTGCACTTATTCAAAATTCACCGTGTAGAGTAACATCGCGTTTTTTACAACTGTCTACCGTTGATTGAGCCACGATTTTTTGTCTGTCCTTTTGTATACGGCTTTTTAAATAAATAAACATGACATTCCACCAATCAACATGCGTGTATGCCATGATTTTTTTTGTCAAATTCCATGCCTCTTTCGGGTTGTCTGCCGGCATTTTAGCCACGAGAAAAATGTCTGTCAACAGTTTTACACGTTTCTTAATAATAAATAAAAGCTATTTTCTCAGTTATAACACGTGTACCTTATAATATTTTTAGTGTCAAAATTTCACCCTTTCGATTGGCCGCCCACGCTTTAAGCCCCGGGATCGCGCTGGCAGACATGACTATTTCATAATAGCTACACAAAAGGATACTTCACACAAAAAATTAGCCATGTAACGATGATAAGGTTTTTTTTATGTAGCCAGCTCTCCGTCTATTAAGTCATTTCTAAAATCAAAATGATTTAAATTTAAATCATTTTGATTTTAGAAATGACAATTAAATGACAATTAATAATAAATGAGACCATGATACTAATGCTATATAAAATAAAACGGTGCATTTTCAGAATAACTACAAACACATTTTTATAAAATTTAACAGATTTGCAGTATTTTAAATTACAGTTTAGCTATCATAGAATACATGACGATTAAAAAGTTCTGATATGTTTTGATGACTATGTCACAGACATGTGACTATGTAATATGTCGATGGCATAAGCTAAGGGCTGAAGGAGTTTAAGTTTACGGTACTCTTCAATATATTCGTGATCAATTTCTTTCATTAGTCGGGGATTCACTAGAATATATTGAGTATTGTTTTTATCTGCTGTCTGGCTGCTGCCTAGTCAAACAGTTTAAAAAGAAATCATAAAGAAATGCTGCTGTTAAAAATTTATCACAAAAATATATCTAATTTAAGTGTTTTCTAAAAAGATCTAAATCTTTTTCTATTTCGGAGTAAAGATTTAAATCACAAATCGTTTTAAAAAATGTCTTACGTCATCTTTCGAAAAATGACTTTGGACTTACCTAAATGACTTGAGTTATTAAAATGATTTAAATAAAAAAGACTTCTGTGAGCTTGCAGAAGTGAAGTTTTGTGTGAGCTTGCAGTTCTGATTGACAATAGTTATTATTGCAACTCAACACTTTTTGTGAATCTCAATCTCTGAATAGGTTTTGGTTGTTTTTAACTAGATTATTTCTTTAAAAAGTTCCAGAAACTATAAATATATAAAAGATGAATAAGTTTTTGATCAGGCGAATTTTGACATTAATAGTTAAATATGTAACGTAATTTCTTATAACAATTGAAGGGCCCAGAAGAAAAAAACATGATAAACACCATTTTACTTAATTTTAAGGGAGAGCTTTAAGATTTTACTAGGCATATATCATAGGATTTAACAACTAATTATAATATTTTAAAACCCCAAAATTAAGAAATTGGCGCTTATAATTTTTCTCTGGACCCTTCAATTGTATGTCCTGGCACCATCAAATTTAAAGGCAACTTGATAATAACTCTTTTATATCATGCTGTATTAAATTATAGATTTTAACGAGAGCCTTAAGCTTGACTCAGAACCTCGCAATTAGTGGAATAAAATAGTGGTTTCAATTAGTGTAGAACTTTGTTAATTTCAATGTAAGCACTCAGAACGTCAAAATTAGATATTTAGAGATAGTAGACATTAAGTAGATATTTTCAGTTAGTAGAAAAAGTTATCAAACTTTTAACTTATCCACTAATTAACTTCAAAATTTGCGAGAAATGTCATTTTGGCCTTTGATTATCTTCCGTCAAAAGAAATTGTTGTTACAAATCAAATGTTGATTCTTTTATAAACTAAATATTAGGCTTTCTCTATGGGCTCTAACCACAGTTTAAAGAATATAAATATATGGGTACAACTGACTAACGCAAGCTGTTGCTAGGTCATTCTATTAATTTTAATTGTGTTTTTTAAATATTGTGAATGATCGTAAACTAAAAAGTATAAAGTGTAATTGAAACCAGTAATTGCGAGGTTCTGAATGAAGCTTTAGATATAAGCACTAGAGTATTTCTGTCTTTTTTAGGAAAAACCGAGTATGTTATGCAAGTCAATATAATAGATTCACCTTATTTCTATCTTAGTAAAGATTGTGAAGTAAAGGTGTACGAGCAGTTGTGTACCATTGACATAAATGGAGTAAAAGGATGGGGATCTGCAGAATGGATATACAGGAACGTTGAAGGACGAAACGTATTAAAAAAATCAAAAGGAACTATAAAATAAGGACACAATTAATTAAGTAATAAGTATTAACTTTATTAAGATTGCAACTTTTTATACAATAAATACCAAAAAGGTGGGAATCTCTATTTTGGTCCTAACAATTCAGAATACATACATCCCCAAATTCTAATAAGTTAATAAATATTAACCACTCAAAATTAACAAGAAACAAAGTAACATCATATACATAAAAATATTCACAGGTTAGCAGCATATGTTGTACTAATTAATATCCCACACACTTCTAATACTGAAATAGGGAATAAGTAAAGTTTATCTGTAAATTAAATCACAACCTATTAAAAAAATACATATTAGTTTAGAAAAAGAAAAATAAAGTCTATTTACATAGGATTACTTTTATTAAACTATTGATAAATTTCATGAAAGTTCATTTAACTTGAGTAACAAGATGTCCATATTAAAATTTCTAATTTTCGAATAACGACTCTGAAGAGCTTTATTATACAATTCGTTTTGATTACAAAGAGTTGTTGCAGTTTCAAGTCTTAAGTTAAGTATCCTAAACGGGTGTGTTATCTAAATAAAAATAAATCAGATCGATAAATTGAATAGCTAAAAGTGAAATCGTCCTCTCTTAAAATTTGCGTCCGAGTAGCTACGTTATTAACGGCTATGCCTTTAACATCGTAAAAAGGTCACATCAATGTGTTATTGTCCAGAATCAACAGACGTCAAGAATGTCAACGTGCCAACATTTGGAAAATTATTAATATGCCTCTAAAGAACAAGAGCTGTATCAAGCACGTGTTGCATTTATTATCTACAACTATTTTCAAATATTTGTTAATTTTTGTATCTGAGTAAACCAGAATTTAACGGTTGAAGCATGCTGTTTCAAGTCGTACGACAATCAGTTATTATGGAGGCATCTACGTAGATTTTTAATTAAAATTAAACCCATGTCGGATACTAAAACTACTACTTAACATTGAATCGATATATTATATAGATATGTTACGGCTAAATTGGATACTTGGCTAATTTTAAAACTAGCCAGCTATTTTGCAAACTAACTAAAAGCGCTGTTATTTTGAAGGAATCCGCCCATTTTTGCAAAATAGCAGGCAGCTTACGGCTACTTTACAAACTAGTTGGTTAGTTTACAAACTATACAGGGTGGTCCGAACTGTATTCCGGAAACTTCGGCAGCATATTCTGCACATAAAAATAAGTAAAAAAGTTCGTATAAATGTATGTCGTAAAATGCTTAGTTTCCGAGATACAGGGTGTGGAAGTTTCATTTTTATTTCGATTTTTTCCAAATAATTTCTGAAGTAACTTCAATATTTGGATGAAAATTGATGTCTAGGAGTTTTTTGACATGAGAAATTTGATTTTGATGTCACTATGACTCCTACTGCTAGAGGGCGCTACCTACATGTGTTTTAACTGGTTTGAAGAGTAATAACTTATCGTCCGTACCTGTATAAAACTACTGAGTAAAAAAATATGCATTTACGACGTTTTTTACGCAAAAAAGATCTCTTAGTAGAAATCGGTACGAGTAATAGTTCTCGAGATATTTGGAATCTAACTTATCAATACCTGTCATCATTCACATAAATTAAACATGTTGACTAAATAGTTATTAGACTGCAATCATAAATTTGAAATGATTTTGTGCCAAAAGTTCAACAGAAACTGTTTTTCCAACATTTTTTTGAAGAAAAATTTATGATTAATTTAAAAAAATAAAAAGTGCCTCAATTTATCATTTCAGTAAAATAACTATCTATTCAACATTTATTTTTTGTCAATAATGAACATGTATTGACTACTTGCATTCTAATCTTGAGAACGGTTGCTCGTAGCGATTTTCACCGAGGGGCATTTTTTACGTAAAAAAATCACGGAAATGTATAATTTTTTACTCAGTAGTTTTATACAGGGACGGACGAAAAGTTATTACTCTTCAAAACAGTTAAAACACATGTAGGTGACGCCCCCTACGGGTAGAAGTCATATTGACATCGAAATCAAATTTCTCATACCAAAAAACTCCCAGACACCAATTTTCATCCAAATATTGACGTTACTTCAGAAATTATTTAGGAAAGATCGAAATAAAAATGAAACTTCTACACCCTGTATCTCCGAAACTAAGTATTTTAGGACATACATTTATACGAACTTTTTTACTTATTTTTATCTGCAGAGTATGCTGCCGATGTTTCCGGAATACAGTTCGGTCCACCCTGTATATTGGTATTATCATAATTTTATATTTTTGTTTTCATATTAACCAGTTATTTTAGTTAGTTTGTATAATTAAAAAGCATTTATAATTTTGGTTAATATGATAACTCCATTAGTTTTAGTCACCCAAAATAGCAAGATTCTTGGCTAGTTTACGAACTAAAATCCTTGCAATTTAAGAGTGAGATTAGAGCCTATATATTCCTCAAGTTGAAGATCTTACTAGTGTTTCTGTGTTTGTACGCGTATTTATGTGATTTTGTCAACTTAAGTTCGGTTCAAGTAGCAAAATAAAATAAAAAAAAATAAAATAAAAAAAGAAGAAATGATTAGTTCTAATATGGGAGGCTATGGGAGCATTCAAACAGCCAAATAAAAAAATAAATATACATTTGCAAATGAGCAATACGTTAAAATTGGATAAAAATTTAGTTTTCAGTTTAGTAGTTGTTTATAATAATTTTAGTATTTGCAATGTACATATTTATTCAACGGCAATGTACTTGTCTATTCGTATTGAAATTATGCAGTAAAATAAATCCAAATCCTGAAAATATTTACAGGTTTAAAACTTATTATTAAACCCTTTCACTTATTTTATTTTGTCTGTATAAATAATAATAACTTATCTCTCATATTTTCTACTATTCTCATTTTATCTTATTTTATTTCTTTTGACTGTTCGAACCTACTTTTTCAGTAGTTATGTACTATACAGTTTGTGTTTAAAATTTGTTAAAATTTATTTTTTATAAATAATTTTTTAAATGAAAATTAAATTTATTATTTTATCATATTTTCCTATCCATTCTAACACTGTACATTAACAAACAAAAACAATTAAAATAAACTTTGTGAACTATCTGGGAAGTATGTAAACTAGCAGCTATTTTAGTAAACTGATGTAAAATTCCAATCCTATCCAGATTTTTAAATAATAGTTTGCATACTAACCAGCTAAAATATAAACTAGCTGAGTTTGTCTGCTATTTTGCAAGAAGAATCAGCCTATTCTTTCAAAAAACAGCGCTTTTAGTTAGTTTGCAAAATAGCTGGCTAGTTTTAAAACTAGCCAAGTATCCATTTTAGCCATAACAAATATACTAAAAAGTATCCACTCATTCCAGGAAAACCAAAATGGCTGAAAAGACTAGTTTCCCGATATTAAAAAAAAAAATAGACCATTGTAGATTTCTAAACAAATTATATAATATGTGTATAATACCGAAGAAAAAGTCGTAAATTATACATATATGCAATTGTAAACACTGTAATTAAAAGTTAGAGTCAATTTAATATATTAAAAAAAATGAAACCGTTCAGTGTTTAAACATACCAAAATCACATAGAAAATCTCATTATTTGACTGCTACTAAATATTAAAATAATTATGACCATTTTTGTTTGTTGACATTTTAAATAATACTTCTCTATAACGATACTTTTATAAAGTTTTAGCTGCCCTCTCTAACTATGTATTTGAGATAGCTCTTGTTTCGACTGAAAACATTTTTATAGAGATTTTACCCAAATCAAACTACAACTAAACCGTAAACTTCTCAATATATCGCATAAATTCTTTCAAACCAACCAGCGGCAGCGGTCGCTTCACAGCTGAGAAGAGCTTGTACTCTCATCTTCAGAATTACTATCGGAAACGTTGGCATCGCCAGCCAAGTGTTTCGGACTAGGCAACGCCAAAATGCCATTTCTCTTATCCATTTCGCTAGGCAGTGCGGGCAACTCCAAGTCGACCTCGTGGTCCTCATCCAAATCGTCATCTAATTTGATGCCTGGACTAGTTGACAGTCGACTGTCGGGTCTCTTGTCTTCATCATAGGTAACGGGTGTGCTTTGTGCCGTATTATTCCACATGAAGACGTCGTCGTCTGAATTGCCGTTCCTACTCGATGCAGATTTCGGTCGATCACATTCCTCTCTGTTGGAAGTGATGATAGAACTAGAAGACGCACTCGTGGATAGAGGATTACGCATTCGAGGACGCTTGTTCGAAGGCGACTTTGTAGGTGTATTTTTCGGTGGAGTGGTGTTCCTGAAGCTTCTTCTGACAATACGAGAAGCTACGACGTCGGGACTTTCGTCCAAATCCAGTACGTAACTTACCGAGTCTGATTTCTCCACCACACCTTTAACTTTAGGAGACGACGGAGGTGACAGATCTTCCATTTCCGTTTCTAGAGAGGGTTTGGATTTTCGACTCCTTAAAGACGTGTCTAAACTAGCGTTACTTTTGTTCGAGAGCGATTTTTCGCGAAACGATAAGGTGCGCTCTAAATTTGCTTTAGCCACCGCACTATGTTTTTCACTGAAACTAGAGCTAAATACGTTCGATCTATTGAACACCGTCTCTTCCGCTTGTTCGATAACTTTCGTAATAACGTCTTTATTTTGCCGCAATTTCCACTGTAATTCCTCGTTATACTGACTAAGGCGCCTCTTCTGGTTTATCTCCTCTTTAAAGGATTCTTGTAGTTTTTGATTCTCTTGGATCAAGTTCTGTTCGTATTCGGATTTTCTTTGCAGTTGATGCTGGAGATCTTCGCATCTGGCATGAAGTGCTAAAGCTTTCTCCTCTGCATTAATTAATATATCTAATTTATGATTGGCTTGTCCTAGGGACTTCCTTAGATCTGCTACTTCTGTTTGTTTTAATTCAAGTACAGCTCTTAATGACTGCACTTCCTAAAAGTAATAAAGAAATTGAAACGGTTTGGTTCAAACTTAAATTGATAAACCGTACCTGTGCACCAATATCTTTATCATCTCCATAGCTTAGTAACCTATCGTTTTCTTCTCTCAGCCTTTTATTCTCTTCTATTAAACCATCAATTTTTTCTTGATAATCGAGTTCTAATTTTATGATTTGCTGCTTTAGCCTATCCTTTTGTTGTTTCATCATATCAACCTAAAAAATATAGATACAATTAACGCTGAATAATTTCGTTATTATTAAAAGTTTTACCTCTTCTTTTAACTTGATTTCTTTGCTTTCATAATCTTGTTTCAGCTTTATGCTCTCGTGATTAACTTTTTCCAATTCGAGATTTTTTTCATCAACTTCTTCACGAATGGCGTCGTTTTCCTCACGCAAAATTTCTAGGGACTGTTCGTGGGACCTTTGTAGTTTTTCTAATTCCTGTCGAACCGTCCTCAACTGTGCTTCGTGTTTATGTGATAATTGCTTTTCGACATTTTCTTTTGCTAATATTAACTCCTGTGTATGTTGCTGTGTTACTACAAAATATAAAAAATTGTAACACCAGAAATAATTATCCTAATAACTGCTAATACTGTATGATCGAAAAAAAACGGCGTCAGCGATGGTTATGAAATGAAGATCGCTGTCATTTTATATGTAAATTTATGTGGGAAATGTTATCGATAGTCATTTCCCAGCCAGCTGGACGCCGTTTTTTTACGATCATGCGGTATTTACTGTTTTAAACATTTAAGATAATTTAATAAATTATTCCAATCGTCCCCTGAATATTTTCGTACTTATTCATTTGCATTCTGTATTTAACAAGCTATTTAAAAATTACTATGTTTTTGTATTTACAGGGTGTTCCTTAATGACATGCGAATATTTAAGGGGGTGATTCTTGGTCCTATTCTAAGAGAAAAACTGCATATTAACTTAAAAATTTTAATTTCTGAGATACAAGGCGGTAAAATTTAAAAAAAAACTTTTTTTACAAATAACTCTGATTTTATTATAGATATCTTTATGAAACTTAATACGCGTCTTCTATGCATCAAAATTCCTTTTTTGATGTACAAAGAATTTTATTTATTTCAACCAGCGCCGTCCATATTGAATATTTTTGGAGAAAAAGTGGTATACCACTGATTTCTCTTAAAATAAAAATTATCTTCAAAATCTTCATTCATTTCTAGATATTTTTTATCTCTTGATTTTTTTCGTCCGACACGCATAGTTTTTGCTTAAAAAAATAAAATATGTTAATTTCAGGGTCAAATTGTTGAAAATCTGTTGCGGTGGCTTAAAACATTTTTTTTTGTATATCAAAATATGCATTTTGATGCATGGAAGACGTGGATCAAATATAACATTAGAGATATTTAAAAAATTAGAAAATTTTACCACCCTCTAGCTGAAAAGTTAAGATGTTTAGGACATATATATTCATATGAAGTTGTTTTCTTAGAATAGGTCCAAGAATCACCTCCTTAAATATTAGCATGTAATTAAGGAACCCTGTATTTTTTATTTATAGAAAATTACAGTTGAGGGTTGGAACCTTTGGTGTTAAACAGCAAAATAAAAACACTAAATCACCACAATACACCAAAACACTTTTACTTTTACACTGGACGCGCGTTTCGCTAACCATGTTAGCATCATCAGCAGATGATTATAAACTAAAGTACAATCTACAGGTTGAGCGTTTATATACTCGCCCAGTGGGCACCGAGTGACATGGCAAAAAACTAGCCAACCGAGTCAGAGCCAACTGAGCGTAACAGTTAGATTTCCGCCACTAGAGTAGTAGGAACAAAGAACTTGAAGGAATTGGACTGTTGTCTCTGTTCATACTATCTTTACATTTATTAATTCTGATGCTTTCATATGCATCTAATTGCCTGTAATTTGAGACTTGTTTAATTAATTTTAAATTATTAAGATCTATACAATGTTCTTTATCAACAATATGTTCGGCAACGCAAGATTTATCCGGTCTACCATATCTTATCTGAGCTAAATGTTCTTTAAAAACAGCAAAATATATCATCCACAGCACTATACACAAGTTTATAATTGACATTCTTAAAAATTCCTTTTTAGTTGATAAATTAATTAGAAAACGTAGGTATAGGTTAATGATTTCTGAAAATTCGACTTTTCAAGTGGAGAAAGATACGTCTAAATATTTTTCGATACCGTTTGATAGAGAGTTAACCCGTGGTCTAAAAGGAATTTTTAAGAATGTCAATTATAAACTTGTGTATAGTGCTAATAATAAATTACAACAATTATTAGGTAATCCAAAGGATAAAACATCACCACTTGAAAGGTCGGGTATTTATGAAATTTCTTGTAAAGATTGTAATCAGAAATATGTTGGGCAAACTAGAAGATCAATATTAACTAGATTTAAAGAACATTTAGCTCAGATAAGATATGGTAGACCGGATAAATCTTGCGTTGCCGAACATATTGTTGATAAAGAACATTGTATAGATCTTAATAATTTTAAATTAATTAAACAAGTCTCAAATTACAGGCAATTAGATGCATATGAAAGCATCAGAATTAATAAATGTAAAGATAGTATGAACAGAGACAACGGTCCAATTCCTTTAAGTTCTTTGTTCCTACTACTCTAGTGGCGGAAATCTAACTGTTACGCTCAGTTGGCTCTGACTCGGTTGGCTAGTTTTTTGCCACGCCCACTCGGTGCCCACTGGGCGAGTATATAAACGCTCAACCTGTAGATTGTACTTTAGTTTATAATCATCTGCTGATGATGCTAACATGGTTAGCGAAACGCGCGTCCAGTGTAAAAGTAAAAGTGTTTTGGTGTATTGTGGTGATTTAGTGTTTTTATTTTGCTTTATAGAAAATATTATTAAAATCTATCACATAATATATTGCGAAGATTCCTGAAGTTAAAATGTTAACCAGGAATACTTATTTTGGTTTTTTTAGGATCAGTGTGATAACTGATAATGGATGCGTATAAAAATATATTTAGTTGTAAAAGCAGGCCACTCACTAGAGACACGTTGACTGTTGACTGTTGAGGAACTAACATACACCCAGAGCTGCAACAAGTCAGTTTTAAAGAGACTTAAGTTTTAATTCATTTCTAAAATCAAAATGATTTAAATCTTAAGTCAAATTCAACGTAAAGTTCAAATTACTTAAGTTTTAAGTCTTTGACTTAAGTCATTTTCTTTCAAGTCAAGTCATTTTTGTAAAGACAATAATAATATAATGTTATTTAAGTCTTTGTTGACTTTGAGTCTTTTTTTACTTAATTTTTTTAAATTAAATCATGATAATCTGCAAGTTAAGTCGGTAAAATGACTTAAATCAATATTACTTTCCTCAAATCAAGACAACCAGAATTCAATTTAAGTACCTATTTTTTAAATGTTAATATTAATTCTCTTGTACTATTGCCCATTACTGATTTATCTGTTTACTTTTATTATCTGTATTAATTTATTGTAGATAGAGATTAGAGTAAAATATTATATAAACAACTATAATAAACAATCAAAAAATAAACGCATCAAAGACTTAAAAACACACATATAAAAACATCAACAATTTAAATAAAGTTCATATTCGTGGTACTTTGTACAGGTTGTCCCATTTTTGTGTGTTTTACAGGGTTTCTAGTTTATAATTTATTATTATTATTTATTTATTATTCACAGTTGCTACTTTTTTATGAAACTAAAGATGGTAAACACATATTTGATGCCGCTGTTTACGATAAAAATAAATGAAAAAAAGACTTAAATCTTTTAAGATATTTAAATATTTTGTCAAAGGACTTAAGTCATTTAAAAAATATTAATTTTTTTTAATGACTTAAATCTTTTCTAAAAAGACTTAAATGTTTTTTTAATGACTTAAATCCTTTTCTATTTCGGAATAAAGACTTAAATCATCATCATCATTTTGAAAATGACTTAAATTTTAAGTCTTAAGTCAGCTTTCGAAATTTGACTTAAAATCAAATGATTTCGGTCATTAAAATTATTTAAGTCAAAAAAAGACTTAAGTTTTCTGTGAGCTTAATTGAACATTTATGTAACTTGTTGAAGACAACACCATTCGTCAGCATGTTGCCCAACACGCTCCCTAGTGAGTGACCTGTTTTACTTTATGTAACTTAATTCGTCATTTTTTCTAGAAATACATATGTATAAAACAGGAGAGTAAAGTATCGATAAATCAAATATCTTACATTGTGCTACTTCTACTCGATGCTTTTCAACCATTTCAACAATATCTTCGTGACATTTGGATCTTTCCTCTTCAACAACAGCAATTTGTTTGCCTCTTTCATCCGCCAGAGCATCTTCCAGCTGACGACAAGCTAACCGAATTTCTTCGGTTTCTATCCTGCATTTTTCCACTTCTCGTCTGAGGTGAGGAACTTGAAAAGCTTCAACCTGCAGAGAACAAAACAAAGAAACTGTAGAATTAATGTTTAATCTAATAAACGTTATTATTATTATTAATCGTTACAATGATATGTTACAGTAGCTTTGTTCGGGTTCTTGTTATTACCGATTCTGAACCGTCCTAGAACTCTGCAGCGCATGCGCAAATGAAATAATGTCTTCATATTTCGTTCTGTGCATACACATCACAGTTCTAGGACGGTTTAGAATCGGTAATAACAAGAACCCGAACAAAGCTAGTGACTGCCATACAGAATGCCTAGAATGCCCAATTGTAAATTGTTGGTGGCCAGTTCATCTCTAAAAACTAACCAAGGCATATGTTGAGATGAGTCCAAGAACAAAATTCTCAGGAGATAAGTTTATACAGAGTTCGGCAATAGTGCGTCGGGTATCTGTAGCTTCTAGAATAAAAAACTTGAGAATTTTGGTTAAGTGCAGACGTAAAGCAAAGCCTAAACTAAGTACGAGGATGTATTTCAGGAAAATATTTTAACTTGTATTGGGTGGCTCAAAACAGCGTTGGTGGATCTGGATGTTTTCTTAATGGATCATCCTGTATATTATTGCAAATATTTTTTGCAATAATATACAGGCAATTATTGCAATTATTGAAAACGAAGAAAAATTATTTTATATTTTTGAAATTTTGGCGTACAATTTTCAAAATCCTGTATCATTTACGATTACCATATTTATAGCAAAGTAAGTACAGACCATCTAAAGTAAATACCTAATATAGTCTTGATTTCAATACAGCTCTTGTATATTTAATATTTTTTTTAAGAAAGGCTGAAAAATATATATTTTATTTATTTAATAATATCCTTATAATATCTATGAAGCTATCGAAATATATTTACTCGTATACTAAGATTATGTAATGTGATCTCAAAGGAAGCCAAAAATGCACTAATATACAGGGTGTTCCATTTAAAAAATCATCCCTATCCACTCACACTTTGTTGAGCCACCCTATGGAAATTAAAATATGTTCCTGAAATACATTCTAGCACATGTAGAATGTAAAATGTTTAGGAGGGAAGTTAATCACCGCGACCTTATAGATCTATTGTGTAGATCTCCCTTTCTTGAGTTATAACGACTTATAACTCATCATACAGTCTCAGGGCTTTAACAAAAGCCAGTATCTGAGACGGCTCCACAGAGGTCAGCTCTCCATCCTCATCAGCCGTACCAAAGTTCATGGCACGAATGGTCGTCGTCTCGGCGCACTGAGTGATAAGGTGTTCTGGTGTTTCCCCATTTTCCCCACAGAATCTGCATTCGCCGTTGTTTCTCAGCTTCGGCCTACTGGGGTGTTCGTTGAGGAGACAGTGTCCTGTTAGAAACCCCGTGACAATCCGAAGATTATCCTAGCACATACTATAGATTTGCATTTAAACAAAATTCCCAAGTTTTTTATTCTAGGAGCTACAGATGCCCGACGCACTATTGCCGAACCCTGTATACAGTTTGCTAAACAATTCATGAAAATAGAGCTAAAAATAAAAAAAATATAACACTTTAAAAAAACTTATCCGATATTCGGTTAATTACATTACTCGGTTAATCTGAGAGTAACACAAAACAAAACAAGTTAAAATAAAACCAAATCCAAACATTAACCTGTTAATGTCGACATTAACCGGACATCGGACATTAACAAACAAAACAATTATTGGGTAAAATGCGCGTTGAATTTAGCGTTGAATTAACTCACATCTAATTGTTCATGTTTTGTGTAAAATTTTCTCACCAATAACAAAACTATACTTGATAAAAAACGACAAAACCGAAACAAGAACATTGACACAGCGATTTTAGCGACCTTTTAGCAACTCGATTGGAGTCCACTGACTACCTATCCGGATGATTAAAAGTGGAAGAAGATTTTTTGGCTTCGCGAATAGATCGCTACGCCTAACAATAACAATAGTTTGTGCTAAAATAGCTCAATGACCCGATACTGTTCCTTAAAGTATTTCTTCTAATAACTATTTTAAGAAATAATGGTTTTATATTTTTGTATATCATATATTTGTTGTAGGGTTTCCAATTTTCGGGATCGGGACCCCGTTCTGAAATCCAGGATTAGAACTTATAATCCTGGAATCCGGGATGGCTATCAGAATGAGAAATTTAATCTAAAGAAATACTGACATAAAAATGCAGATATATACATAAATATATAAAAGAAGGAGAAAATAGCTTTTATTAAAATAGACAAAACAAAGTAACATTCATATTTAGTGATTAAAAAAAATAAATCAATTCTTGTTAACAAAAAAAAAAATATATAGTAGCCACGGGAATACAAGTTCTAGATATTGACGTTCTGCTTAGTATAAATAAAATAATATGATATTTTAAAAAATCAATTCATTTTATACTGGGCATTTAAATTTTTCGAGATTTTGAGGATCCCGGATTTAATATGCGGGATTTTGGAATTAAACATACACTGGGATCCCCGGGGATTTCGGGATTCGGAATTGGAAACTCTAATTTGTTGTGTACATACATGTTTAGACTCTCAGATAAAATGTGCAAACCAAATTATAGATACTAATAGGTCATCAAGAGTACGCCACGCATCACGACTATTGTAAATACTTCGAGGCTGTAAAAGAAGTATACGGTTCAACCAAGAACGTAGCTGCTCAATCAAGGCACAAAACGGTGAACTTCTAAAAGAGGAAGAGTAAATCAGAAATCGCTGGAAAGAGCACTACAGCCATATCCTTAACCAAGAGAACATCCCCAAATATGGAAGCACTAAACACAATATCTCACTATAACAGCATTGATGTAATAGATATCCCAATAACAGGAAATAAGGTCTCTATCAAAACAACTTAAAAATCTGCAGGTTGTGACGCTATTCCGACGGAAATCTATAAGTGTGCAAGTAAAGAACTTATTGGTCACCTTAAGGTGAAGGCTCTCTTCGATGTCATATGGGAAAGCAGTGACGTACCTCAGGACTTTCGCAACGCGAATATAGTGAATATATTTAAGAACAAAGGAAGTGCATTAGATTGCGGAACTACCGGGGAATTTCACTACTGGCTATCGGAGGAAAAGTTTTTGCAAAAATTATGTCAAACCACCTGCACCCACGTATAGAAAAAATCTTTCCAGAATTGCAAACGGGCTTTCGCACCAACTGCGAATATGGAATTAACGTTACCGTTAATTCCATATTCTCTGTTCGCCAACTACAGGAAAAAGTAAAGGAGCAGCAGAGATCTAGAATCGTTCCTAGATATTCTGCATTGGTAGCATAAGGCTAATAACACCGTGGAGCGTGGGGGTTGTCGAAGAGGAAGTTGAAGATACCGTATGATTGAATAAAAACGGCGTCAGAGATGGCTATGAAATGACAATGCATGACATTTCCCATATAAATCCCATTACATATAAAATGACAGCGATCTTCATTTCATAGCCAATGCTGACGCCGTTTTTATTCGATCATACGGTACTTCGTTAATATTTCTGTCAATTCTTCAGGAAGACGTGACGACTTGTTTTCCAATATCTTCTCTATTGTACCCACCATTCTATACACTTAATGTGTGGCTTTTAAGTGCTTAATATCTTTAAAACGGAAAAAATATTCATCTATACGACTTAACATCATTTGGTGGTTTGTCAGGTTTTGGTAGCTGTATCAGGTATGTGTTTTCTTCTTCTTTTTTTTTATTAATTTGAGATCTAGTCGATCTGTTAATTTTAAGGTTGCCTCTGTAGGAGTCCTTGGGAGATGGTCTGCCAACTGTCTTTCCATCTTTTAGGGTATCTTTCCCATGGGTTTCCCTTCAAAAGCTATGCGTGGTAGCCTCTTTTCTTTCATGCGTTTTACGTGTGGGAACCATTGCCTTTTTCTTTGCCTATCCCATCTCACTATGTCCTGTATTCTACATTGTTGTCTGATATTTGTGTTTCTAATTCTGTCTCTTCTAGTCTTTTCCATTATGGTTCTTAGGTTCTTCGTTTCAGCGAGGTATGTGTATTAACCTAAATTATTATTATCACAAATGAGCTGTTTGAGCCCTTCCACTTGGGAACTGTAACATCGATCAGTGATTGTAAAAGTAAAGTATAACTTACATTAAACACCAAATGTTGAACTAGAACGGCTAGCGCTTCGGCAGTTCGGGGTAGCGGTGGTGCTTTCTTGGCTGGAGCCCGAAGGGGTTGAGGGGCGGGGGGCCGAACGGAGGGCGACGTGCGGCCCCCTTTCACCGTAAGTTTACTGGATTCTGTAAAAAAAAGAATCAAAGTTAATTCATATACATATACGTGTTGTACATTATTTATATATATTTGATATCAATTAAATTTTTAGTTACGTAATCGAAGGCGCGATTTTTAAATTCATTGTTACCAACCATGGCAACATATTCGGCGCCATGCTGACTAACTGGAATTTAAATTTCGCTCTGGAGATTCAGGTGGTAGCTCTGCTGTAAAAAATGTCAAGTTGCCGCATTTATTTTTTTATTTCCTGACATTGTCATTCATTTTGACATTTTAGATAAATAGTGTTGTGATACTTTAAGCTTAAAAATGTTTACTGGCAGACCTTGTCGTCGAACATTATTCTTTTTGGGACCTTTTTTAGTACGAAGATACATGATAGCTTAATACCCGTAGAAAAGTCCCTTAAGTGCTGTTAAGAGGGTGAGTTTTGTTCATGTAAATAATAACTGTTTATATAATTATAATTAATTTATTGTTGTTTTCTAAAATATTGAGATTGAAAGAAAATATATAAAAGTGGACAACGCTGTGCCGGTCAAGCTCAATCACGTGACTAAAAGTTTATTTGGTATGAACTGTATACGTTTAAAAAAGTTTCTAAAAACTGAAGGCTGTTTAGTGGACACGTTAAGTTCTATTTTATAGCTTGGACTTGTCTTCCTGATATTTGTTTGGATACGAATTTTGCACTAAATTATGTAATAGGTACTAAAACTAAATAATTATTAAAACTAGAATATGTACAGGGTGTACCATTTTCCTGTGTTTTATGGAGTTTCTTGTTTATGTGTATAGATGCAAAAATGCTACACAATTCATTTAAACTAAAAACTCGTAATTTAAAACTAAAGTGTCAAAACGAATGACAATGTCAGAATATAAATAAATAAATGTGGCAACTTGACATTTTTTACAGCAGAGTTACCACTTAAATCCCAGAAGGAAATTTCAATTCCAGTTAGTCAACCCGAGACCGAATATGTCCATGGTTGGCAACAATGAATTTAACAATCGCGCCCTCGATTACGTAACTAAAAGTTCAATTGGTATCGAATATAGTTTATATTTTATTGTAGTTTGTAATTTATTATAATATTTTCATTAAGTTTCTCTTCATCCACCTTAAGTCAGGAAACTGTTGGAGAGTGACGCATAACACAATAATCTTTTGCTATAGTCAAGTAATTTGAAAACTAAATATTACAGAGATGTTTTGTATTTTAATATTTTTACATCAAGTTATACATTTCATTAATCTTAAGCCAGGAAAAATTTCAAGAAACGCACTCGCTATAACCGACTTCACAGGGTTAGTTAATTCAGAACTGGACAGTGTTTTGATGTTAAACAAGAACCGAAACTGGTAAGGACATGTAATAAATTATGGAAAGATGACTGGTTGAACGAGGACCGGCACCGCATTAACTAGCTCGCTATGAGCAATTAATATTTGAACAAAATGGGAACTGTTTTCGGACAGAGACTAGTTTTTAAAAGTGTTATTGCTTCCGTTGAGGGATACATACATTATATTTTTTTATAACTGGTTAGCGTGATTTATAACCACTACTGTAAACTTAAAAATATCTCTATAGAGTGTCCCCGAAAGGTCTGTACAAAAATTCTACCAGACAATGTCGGGGTGAGCAATTAAAATATACAGGGTCGCTTTTATGCTCGCATTTATGTATGGAAACGGTCGATTATTAGGTAAAATATACAAGGTACCGCAAAAAGTTAAATACAAAAATTATAGCGTTTTTAAATAACATATTTTCGCTTTATCGTTTTTCAAATAAGTCCAAAATAACGGAGTTATTTTATTTTGAAAATTTCCAAAAAAATGATTTTTTGCTAAAATTTTGAGAGCCACTGGATCTTTTCCGGATTTTCTTTCTTGTTAATTTAATCTACTACCTATGTTGCCATATTATCAAGAACTTATGTTTTTTAACTAAAAACTAAAAAAAAATTCATAAAAGTTCCGAATTTTCAAAAAATTTTTTTCGCGAAAAAAACCTCATAGGCGTGTTTCTGGGATTGAACTATACTTAAATAACTTTATATATATAGTATATAAGTTATATCTTTATACAGGGTAGTTCACCACATACGACACAGAGTATTGTAGCTAAACGATTAGATTTTTACAAATTGTAAGTTTTGGGTTCGTTGAAGGACTATTAGAGCTACAATTTAAAAATATTTTACAAGAAACAGAGTGTCCCAAATAAGTAAAAAATATTTTAGTTGTATTTTTTTAAATGGAACACCCTGTATATTATTCTATTTTTAGATTCTACGATTGAAATAAAAGCGTAAATTTGATTAAGGTTTATCATACTTAAACCTTACCGTTTTTGAAATATTTTCAATTTTATGAAATTGAAGTAATAATTTTAAGGCCTCATTTCTCCAAGGGTATCAAAGTTTTTAATACTAAATATTTACTGAATATTATTTATTGATCAGATATTGTTTTGCAATAATAAAAATTTCACTACCTTATACAGAGTGTCCAAAAATTTATATTAAATAATTACTAGCTTTAAACGGCAATAACTTGTTTAATTTAAATAGAATGCCCTGTATATTTTACGTGAGTCATATGCACAATTTAATTGTCTATCATATTTTATTATACAATTTTTTACCTATCTCTTCAAATTTTCGTAGAAAATGCATTTTCTTATAATGTGGTTTCAAATATATGTGGTGAACAACCCTGTATATAACTTAAAATACTTGTACTTATTTCTGGGACACCCTGTATTTTACCTAATGATCGAACGTTTTCGTACATAACAGCGACCTTGTATGTATTAACAAATGAAGGTTCCAGGGGAAAATATGATAAACGCCAATTTCTTAATTTTAGTGTTTTACAATATTTTAGTAGATGTAACTGGTCTCTACAAAATGTATATAAACTCTGCAAGGCAATAAGTTGCTAAATCCTATGATATATAATAATAATAATAATAATAATAATAATAATTTGACTTTATTTATGTAGGTGGCGAGGTCTAGCATACGCTACTCAATCTAACCACCTTAAAAAAATACAAAATACACATACAATACTAATACAACAATATAACAATTTTAATATAATATAAATCTAAATTATATAAACGAACAAAAAAAAGACATATAAACACCCATACATGAGCTTAAGATACAATTCAATAATACTTTTATAAAGTTAAGTTGAAATCAACAAGAGATTTCCTGAAACCTGCAATGGACTAGAACAGCTTTTAATGTGCGGAGGAAGTGAATTAAGCATTTCGGAAGCATAATACGAAAACGATTTTTCAAACAAGGCTGTCCGGTGTTTAGGCACCACGTAACTGCTGCGTTTTCTGGTATTAAGGTCGTGGAGGTCAGCTGCCTTGACAAGTATGTCGAACAAATAATGAGGTTCTTGAAATTTTTCTATTTTATAAACTAGTATACACGTATGTATAAAAGCATACTGTTCAAGTCCTAACCAGCCCGATTCTTTATAAAGAGGAGAAAACATGATCAAATTTAGAGTACCAAATGAATACCTTAAGCAAGAGTTGACAAGTTTTGTTAAGCTTTGTTTGTCCCTTGTTAAGTAGAGCTGGCCAGTAGACAGTGTCGCAGTAGAAGACCAATGAAAGAATTAGGCTTTTACAAGGTCAATTTAACATCTCTGTTAAGAAAATCTTTATATAAATATAGTGTCTTTAACTTACAATACGATTTCTGCAAATATATGATACATGGCTCAAATCTCAGTTTAGAATCGTAAAATAAACCCAAGATTTTTGCAGTTTTTAGCAGGTGTAATGATGATATTGTCAAGTACGATATTTAATTTTTTGAGAAACATCTGGCGAGTTCTACCCACAAAAAATTAGTTGAGTCTTATTAGGGTTTAAGCAAAGACCATGATGGTGTGAAATGTCATAAATTATTCTCAGATCTTCATTTATTTTGCTTTCGGAGGCTTTGAAATCTTTACTCAAGGAACAGTAGACTTGAAAATCATCAGCATACTGATGTGAAGATAAATTTTTTAAATACGTTTTAAAATCTGCCGTATAAATAGAGAACAGAAGTGGACCAAGAATACTGCCCTGAGGAACACCACGATCTACAGGCAATAAAGTCGAAGGAGATTCTCTGATAAAAACTCTCTGTTGTCGACCAGCCAAGTAACACGCCATGAGTTTCAGTGAACAGTCACTGAAACCAAAATATTGCAATTTCTCCAAAAGTATCCTATGGTTTAACGTATCAAAGGCCTTAGAGTAGTCCAGGAGAAGTAGGCAACCAGTATCGCTCTTTGTCACATATTCTGAAAAGATCATCACTGACTTTCAGTAAAGCAGTTGCCGTACTATGGCGAGACTCCTAAAGCCGGACTGAGTGAAAGGAAGAATCTTAGAGACATTAACAAAATCTGTTAGTTGTTTATGCATAATTTTTTTCTAATACTTTAGATAGGAAAGGTAATATGCTTATTGGTCGATAATCAGATAATCTGACAGGATTAGAGTTCTTTGCTGTGGGAATAATATTAGCAATTTTCCAGGCAGCTGAAAATGATTTTTTTTAATACAAGTATTAATAATGAAAGTGATGTGACGCAATAAATGAGGAAGTATTAAATCAATCATTCCTTTATCTATCCCGTCACATCCCTTGGCATTAGACTTAATTTCCCTAACTACCCTCAAAATACTTTTTCTCATCAACCTCCAAAAAATTAAACAAATTGGAATCATCCAGAAATTTAGAGCTCATATAAGTTTGTAAATAAGTATTAGTGTTATCATCAATGCACAATTTAGGTACAGAATTAATAAAAAACTCATTAAACTCATCGGCAGTACCAGTATCCTCATGATGAGATGGCATACCAGGATGAATATTCAAACGCCGTAGTGTTAGCCAAAACTCCTTCGGATTGGTCTTAAACTGATAAGACAAGTATGCTTTCTTTTTCATTTCTTAGACTCGAAGT